CTGCTAAGCGGCTTAAGACTTGAACTGAAATTGCGTATACGCTGCGTTGGCTGCAAAGACTTGCAAGTTTTATGCAACTGTCGGTACAGCATGAGGTGTTCCGCGTTCGATTCTACTGTAAGGAGTATTTCAGTTTGATGATGGAGTAGAAGATCCACGAGTCGACTCTTTATATCCATGTCCGTTCTGATGTAAGATTGTACAAATAGCAGACGAATCGGACTACTATTCTATCTATATAGCTGACATAGGACTCTTAGGATCTTAGAATACTCTATACTCTTAATATATCTGCGAAATATTATGCACATAAAGTTTATCTATATATAGAAACAATCTAGCGAAAAGAGCCTTCTTTGTCTTGAATAATCTAAGATCTCCAATAGCAACAATCTAAATAGGAACAAAATATTATGCATATCATAGTCTAAAGCTTTCCTATAGAAACAATCTCGCGAAACTTGTCGTTTTTTGGTTTTATACATACTCTTATAATATATATGGAAAAGATTAAGCATATCATAATTTACCATATATCATATATACCTATGGGAACAATCTAATTTGAATACGATTTTTGTTTTCCTAACATATCCTTGCCAAATCTGATGTGAGCTACAATATGCTTCTACCATAGGAGAGATATATAAATGAGTTCATTCATTTTTATTTTATAGTTCTTATAGAAACAAAAAACAGGGTATTTGAGCTGCGACAACACTTGGAAAACTTCTTATTTCTTTGCTTATTTTTAAGCTGTTTTTTTTTTTTTGTTAAGAATTTCGCAGGAATTGAATTGAAACATTGAACAGAACACAAGCAGCAGCTACAATTCAATACAACAATGCCACCGAGCAACAACAACAACAACAACAGCAACAACAGCAACAACAGCAACAGCAACAACCAGTGACAGCAACAGCAGACGTTGCAGATATACCTGTGCATGTGTTTGTGTGTGTTGCCCATTCCCAATGTCCGCTAGTCGATTTGTATGGCATTCGAAATGTTAACTGCCAGCAGCTACTCCAGCAGCAACAACAACAACAACAATGGCCAGCAATCGACATCAAAGTACATACGTGAGTCCTACGCAAACGCAGCCAATCTTTAAAGGCAGCCAGAACTGCCTGACAGCTCAGGTGAGGAGTGAAGGAGAGGCGAGAGCTTGGAGCTGGAAGCTGAATATGTGAGGATGTGCAGCGTACCAATTGGATGCCTCGAACAACGACGACGACGGCGACGACGACGACGACGACGTCTGCAAAAGTCAGCGCAGATATCAAATGTATTGATAAGCAGAAAGCCTTGGCTGTGCACGGCCCCAGCTCGGGTACGAGAGAGACCAGGTCCAAGCAGAGGCCAGTTCAGAGGAGGACCAGGCCCAGGCCAGGCCTTTTTCTGATGCTCTGTTTCCTGTGAGAAACAAGTATATTTGTCCAGTATACATTACATTTAAGGGAAATGCAGTGATAGCATTTCAAATGTGAAAAATGAGCTTTCCTATTAGAATATTTCACATTCGCATGTCATTCAAAATGGAATTAGGCTAATAGACGCAGTTGTCCTGCTGGGAAATTTTTAGTTAATGCGAGTGTTTTTTCGCACGAACAGAGTATGGCGCAGTCGTTGGCCAGCGACTGCAATGTTCTTGGTTGTTTTCCAGCGAAAACGGAAAAAACATTGTTGGCCCGTTTGGCTGTTGGGCTGTGCAAGTTGCAGCACACAGTGGCAACTGGCAACTGGGAATGGCAACGGCAGCCCGTTGACGTGCGGTGGCCATTATGTAGCTGCTCCTTTGGGAACCCAAAACAGCAACAACAACAACAACAACAACCATCTCGATGGACGATTGACGATGGTTGCTGCTCAGGTAGATAAATTCGTAATACAACTGCAAGCTGTCTGCAGCAGCTTCAGCTTCAGATTCAGCTTCGGCTGCGGCTGCGGCTGCGGCTCGTAGCTTGTCCATTGTCCGGCGTGGCACGGTCTGAGGTCTGGACATGGCACATGTTGCAGCCAACTTGTTGTTGCTTTTGTTTTGGCTGCTGCTTTGAAGCATTTTGTATTGTTTTGTGTTTGTGCGGCTTATCCAGCGCTTTCAACGCCTCGCGATCAACCCGGCCACACGGTCCAACACAGTTGCCTTTTCGGCCGCATAATTCATGTTTCACGCCCGCCTTTTTTTTTGTATTTTTTTTTTTGCTTTGTTTCCTTTACTTGCCACAGACAAATTTCAAAATGGCAGCTGCTGCGCAATTATTGGCAAACGTAGTTTTAATCAAAGGGTTCGCTTAATGCCAAAAAAAAAATTACAGACTGTATGCAAAAAAGAAATTGCCAACTGACATCGATAGTTCGTTGGCATTTCAAACAGATTGCCAGTTGGCAAAGTGATAGAACACGAAATTCGAATCAAAGCCCACTCCGTGTGTGTGTGTGCTGTGTGTGTGTGTGTGCTGTGTGTGTGTTTGTGCTGTGCGTGTTGCAGCTTTGATTGTTGCCAGCTGTCGTGTCAACTTCCGCTTTTGGCTTTCAGTATTTGCTCATTACTTCAAGTGTGTATCGTGTGTGTGTGTGTGTGTGTGTGTGTGTGTATGTGTGTGTGTGTTTTAGCGGACATTTCCGTCCCTGGCATATTTGTGCAGGTCTTGAGTTTATTGAAAAATATTAAATAAATAATAAGCAAGTGCGAGTGTTCCAGTAGAGATTGCCTCCAACTAGGAAATATCTCTGATATACATCGAATCGGTTGAGATTCGATTATATAGGCGAAAACGTCTGGACATGTATGAGCTATGCGACAAGATACATATATTCATTTAAATGTTGCGCGCTTTTAAAATATTTAATATGGAGAAACTAACATACATCGATATTTATCGATAGAATAGAAAGAAGAATCTCAAACCGATAATTATCGATAAGTTTGGAGGACTTGAAATAAGCTTGTGGGTAACTCGTTTGTATGATAATTATGAAATTAATTAGGTTCAATAAGCCCCATGTGAGCTTAAATACGAGAATACAAAATCAGAAACCGATAATTATCGATGTGTTGCTCTAACGGAGAGTTTGGAAGACTTAAATTTAGCTTGTGGGTAACTCTTATTCATGATAATTATTTAAAAGAAGGGAAAGAAAATAAACATAATCTGAGCTTGAGTGAGAAGTCTCATTTGACGGACCCCAATCTGGTGCATTGTTCTCCCAACTGAGTTTTCACTGTAACTGCAATGCAATGCCCTTGTTAAACTCTTTTGCGCCCTTTTTTAACCACTCTTAAAAGGTCTTAAATAATAAAATGTTAGCAAGAGGGAAAATCGCAGAAAGGCGCGCAACACAGAGCAAATCGTCATATTGCACCTGCAACCTGCAACAACAACAACAAACAACAATAAACAACAAGAGCGAACAACAAGAACAACAACAACAAGAACAGCCTTATCGATTCGCACAATTTTATGGCTGTCAAAATAAGTTGGCAGCAGAAACAGGCAGCAGCAGCAAATGGCCAAAAACAGCAGCCGCGAAATTGTCAAAGGCGATTTGAAATCGTTGTTAGATTGGAATTTCGACCCAATTAGGAAATTTTTCGACTGCTGCCGTTTCGCCCTTTCGGCGGAAAAATGCAAAAAACAGAGCCGAGGCTATGGTCAAGGATGCGAAGCGCGGCAACAATCGAGCGTTACATAAAATATATTGTTATGTCTGCGGTGAGAAAACTAATTGACGATGACAGCAGTCGCAGTTGCTGCTGCAGTTGCTGTCGGCGTCGCTGCCGGCGTCGCTGTGGCAACAACCAGGCAGGAGTCAATTTTTTTGCCTTGGGGCAGCCATCGATTGCACGCTTTTTGCTGCCTGCCGCACGTATCGCAAGTGGCCTTCGTAGTTTTCTATTTGCCACAAGAAAAGCCCCAAATCGTTTAAATTTATTTATACGTTCGGCTGCTGTTGCGATATAAAAGGCGCCGCCAAAATGCAGCAGCAGCAACAAGAGGCAACAACAAGCGGCAACAACTGCAGCAATCATTTTGTGGCAGTTGCATGAAATTATTGATTTGTTATTTGTGGGCTTGTTAAAATGCTTTTGTGTGCCCGATACTCGAGTTGTTGTTGTTGTTATTGTTGCTGTTATTACCGATTGCTTTAACTAATAATTGTATCTTAATTTTGTTTTATTACCAATTGGCCAATTGAGGTGCGGCATCTGTAAAAAATGTTGCAAGTGTCGATGCTTTAGCATGCTTGCCACATATTTTTTGACAGTTGCAGCTATCAATTTCCTCTGGTGCAAGTTGATATTTATAAACAGAAGCAGAGCTTATTAATTATCTTCTTCTTTTCTTCTTCTTTGCACTTGATTACATATTAATAAGTATTTGTACACATTTAACATTATTTTCATTTTCTATTGAATTTTATTCATATTTTAAATTTTATTTATTTTATATGCCTCGAAAGCTGTTCAAAGAAATGTTATTCAAAATGAAATATTTGCCGCCAAATGGAATGCGATAACAACGCGCAAGCTAAAATGTTATCGTTATCGACAGACTTGCTGGCAACGCTTATGCTTAAAGAACACGGTAGCGCCCCTAGGTCTCGTTTGCCTAGTGGTGAATTTGTATTACAACTGGCTGGCATGCGTACCCTTTGGTGTGAAACTTTGCTGAGATGTGGTGAGCATGACTTACGGCTTGTTGGTGCGAAACTTCGCTCAGATGTAGCTAGCACAGTTTGTAAACCAATAGCTAGGTTTCACGCTAAAATTGTTGAATTTCAATTTGAAAATGCGCGCCATTGAAATTTGGTTTAAATTAGTTTCATATGTTCATAGTAATAGAGAGCTTATATATTTTTTACAGTAAGTAACGTCTTTATTCAATTGCATTTTTTCTGCTGTTTTGTCATTTTATAAAATCATATTATAAATACATAAAAACTACAGCATGTCATACAAAAAACAAAATCAATCAAAACTGGGAACTGTTCGTCAATTTGTATTCGATTTAGTAAGAATGTTTAAACTACAGTTTTTGTTCTCTTTTATGTCTTGCATATAGGACTAAATTGTATGCTTATTCATTGGGCCATTAAATATTCGTTATTATTGTTGAAATATTCATTTGTTCTTCTTATTCTTGTTGTTGTTCTTGTTATCTTGTTTGATTAACGATTTTTGAAACGACAGTTTGTGAACTTATGAACTAGAGACAAATACAAAGGTTATCACTTGAGTATGTCTAACAAGCTACTCGGTTTCTTAATGTTTCTTCCTCTACATTCTATATGCTTTCTATATATGTAAATGTGTGAGTGTATATAGGTATGCTACGCTTTCTTTTTTATTATGGTCTATAACTAGAGTCGGTTGAGTAAATTCAACGATTTGGCAAACAGTTTTCAACTGCCTGAACATAGAGAGACGCCGTCATATGGTCAGCAGTTCAAGCTGGCAGAACGTGGGGTGCTTTGCCTAGAAACTTGAAAACTTAGCACAGGTTTTTTTTTGTTTAGTTAGTAGCTGAATACCCCTACTAAATATTCGATATACGTGAAAACTACAAACTATTGTTTAAAACTATAAGTTTGCTAAGCCACAAATAACTTTCAACATAATCGTAAACTTACATTTAATTCTATATAATATATATGTATATTTAATGTATTTTAGTTTAGTATCAAAAATGCATGGCACCCATGGGGAACAGAGTTCGTTGAGCAAATGTTCAGAGTTCCGAAAAAGACTCGAACACAACACACTACACATATATTATATATAATATATATATATATATATATATCTTTAGCTTAGACTACGTAACTAGTACAGACTATGTGACTATGTCTATGCCTTATATGCCTAGACTTTGATTACAATTTTAGCATGTTTCATATTTTCGATTCGTTTCTTTTCGTTTCGTTTCGCTTCGTTTCCCATTTCGTTCGCACTCTCTATTTCATTTTTTTTAAACATTTTTCAAATAAAAGGCAACTCATGAACATGTTTTGTTTAGTTGTTGTTTTCAACAGCTATACCCGACCTAAATCCACAGCGGCCCAATGGTGTCCACTATGATGTCCAGCACATCCTGGCGTCCCATCTCCTTGAGCGTCAGCAGCAGCGACATTATGCTGTTCGCATGCGAAATGCAACTGGAACTGTTACCGTTAGAAATGCCGCCGCCGCCAATTCCGACTTCTCCCCCGCTGCCGCGCCCACTGTTGGCGCGACACTCCCACAGATTGAGTATCTGTTCGGTGGGCGAGGGCTTGGTGGCAAAGTATGCAATATACCGATCCGTGCTCAATTTCTTGGCCAGCAGCCGCCAGTCACGCTCGTCCGCACGCGGCGGATCCAAGGCGGCGCATATCAAGCGCTTCGTGGCATGTGGCAGCTGGACAAAGTCCAGCACACAGCTCTCGTTCACATAGTTGCCCTGGCGATCTATCGAGATGGTCGTGTTCGTTGTCGAGGCCAGCTCCTCGGCCGAACCCAGGCCCAGGCCCTGTCCCTGGCCGGGCATGCTGAACGTATAAAAGTCGAGCTGCTCGCCCTGGCCAAAGTCGACGCACAGCGTCTGCTGCTCCTGGCGCCGCACACTAAACTCACAGTGCAATATGGAATTGTTGCTTAATATGTGCTGGTAGGGTATGGCATGTTCGTAGGGCGCATCTGCCGCATCGCCAGCTCCCACGTCGGCATCTCGGCAGCGCACGCGTATATTCAGATTGAGGCTGTTCAGCACGAAGCCAAAGACCTGACTCTCGCCCAGATAGCTGCCGCCTAGCTTGCACTCGACATTGGCGCATATGTCCCGGCTGTTGGGGAAATCCTTGACCACATAGATGCGCAGGCTGCAGTTGGCGCTGCTGCTGGGCGGCGTGTGCTGGCTGAAGGCGAGCAGCTTCATCTTGATCGCCGGCTGCTGGATGCGCGGCTCGGCCACGACGGCAAAGTGGCCCAGCTGCTCGGTCATAATGTAAACGGCCGTCGGCTCCAGCTGCACAAACATTGGCGTATTTATCGTCTCCTCGCCCACAGACACCGCTCGCCGCCAGCCGACATTCAGATCGTCCTGCTCGCTGTCCGCATGGTAGATGTGCACATGCCATTGCTCCGGCGCCAGCAGGCAATGCGGTATCCGGAGTATCACGGGCTTAATGAAGCCATAATTTCGGGGCGCACAGTGCAACACGCTGCTGCACAGTATGGAGCTGTCCGTGGCGCAGGCAATTCGACTGCACTCGTCGCTCAGCAGCATCAGGGAGACGTGCTTCTTCAGATGCTTGCCAATGGCCAGCTCCGGCACAAAGAGCAACAGCTCGCCGCCATACAGACGCAGCTGGCCGCCGTTGCTGCCCAGCAGCTCGTAGCTGCTGCTCTTCGAGGCGTTCAGTATGGAGAGCTTGGCATTCATGTCGAACGTGGAATTGGCTACGGAAAATTGAGAGGGAGAGAGAGTTTTGAGCGAGAGCTGGCATTAGGCTAGGCCTGAGGGTTACTTACAGGTGTCCGCTGTGGAGGAGTCGCCCGTTTCGGATAGATAATCTGCGCTCAGGTCATCTATGGGATTCGTGTAGCTGAAGGGAAGAGAAAGGGCAGAGCGAAGAGTTAGTTGAAGGATTCTGACGATGGATGAGCTATTCGATTTATGTGCTCAGTATCAAAGGATCTTCAATATTTAGGGTCTATTCCTAAAATTTCACTTAAGTGACAAGACGTTGCTTTCCATCTTTTGCGAATTTGACCAAAGACTTGTTCATCTGCTCCGAAGCCTCTTTGCATACTTAAAGGCACATAAATGTATCCAGCTGTGCATAGCAGCTATCGAACCCAATCCAAACTGTAGCGATGGTAATCCGCTTTGTGGGATTAAAGTACAAGTTTTGCAACTTACTTGGCCGCCAAGTTGGGCACATCGTAGTGATGCTCCGTGACGCCGCCGCCGCAGCCGACGCCCAGGCCGACGATGTGCTCGCCGGGCAAATAACGATGTCCGGGATTGACATAATCGTATCCCAAATTGGCTGCCTCGATGTGCATGCGCATCTCCTTCTTATCGACAACGCCGGGCATATAATCCGCATCCATAACTGCAACAACAAAAAACAGCGGCGAGGGCAACAGGAAGCGTGTCAGCACAGATTCAATTGCCGCAGTCGCAAAATGCGAAATCGACTTACCTGAGCGAGCCATGTTGTAGTGCGGATTGTGGCGAATGCCGCGGCGGGCGCAGCAGATGAGCGCGGTGCCAAAGGCAAAGCAAACGGCTGTGATGAAGGCCAGGCCCAAGTACAGTGTCCAATCGAAGTCTGTAAGGGCAGAGAGGGCAGAGAAGATGGGCGGATTGAATAAAACTGCTGATTTTTGGTTTTTAATATGTGCCTTGGCGTGAAAAGCACCACCCCAAATCCAGATTTCGCCTGCATCTGCCAATCTCAATCTTTGTCTTTTGTATTAAAAAGAATGCTCGCCCCCCCTCCCACCACAAACACACATACGCAAAAGTTGAGTCAACCAAAAACAGAAACCAAACGCGGTCGCATCCAAAAAATGTTGCCATCAATCCAAAGCAGCCATGCGTAGCCGTATCTGCCGCTTGGTCGGTCGGTCGGTCGGTCGGTCCCTCGGTCGCCCCCTCGGTCGACCGCTCGCTCACTCGGTCTGTCGGTCTGTCTGTCGCTCGGTTATTCCTTCTCTCTGTTATGGCCTGTATATGTCTGTATTTAATGTTTTATGTTTGTATGCTCAGACCCCCTTGGTCCATGGAAGCCACAGTTACTCAATGCCCCCCCCCAACAATCCGGCGTCTATTTCGCATTATTGTGCGCTACCCCCTGCTGCCGCCACCCGCACCCGCACCCGCACCGTCACCCATTCCCTTGCCCCAAGCGCCATTGTTGCTCGGCTTGTTTCCGTTGCTGTGATTGTTGTCGTCATTGTTGGTGGCGCTGGCGGTGACTGGTTGGCGCTGTGCCGGGCGCAAAGGAATCGCTGCAGCGCAAGGAATTACTCCACTGTATATGTATATATATTATGATTATTACACACTCACACACACACACACACTCAGAACGCATTATACAATGTATGAAATGAGCAATTATATTCGCTGTAAATCAGCGACAGAGCCGCTTGCAGCATCGGAAGCATCCTTCGCTTTGAATGGATCTACCCCCCCTGAAACCAAACTTTAGACTTTTTCTTGCGCTTTCGCTTTTCCATTTATTTTTTTTTTCTGCATTTTGCATGCTGATTTTTTGTAGACTCCTGCCTGAGACATCAAAAGCGTATTTGTCATGCTAAGAGATTAGAGAGGGTATAGTACTTCCCCACCCTACCCCCCGGATTGCCAGTTGCCACAATGGCCACATAATAAAGCCTCAGGACTTTGGCTACAACTGTTGCAGCAGCCCCAGGGATATTAGCCCGGGGTCCAACTGGCGCTCTGAGCCACAGCAAATGTAATAAAATGGAAAATAAGCCAAAGGCTCAAGTCAAAACCAACAAAGTGTCACTCTTCATTCGCAGAAACTTTTCAACAGCAATCAAATAACATGCAGAAAAAACGAGCAGAAATTGTCTAGTCGAAGTTGTTCGACTAGGAGAATATCCTGTGTCTCAAAATCCATTCTTAAAAAACTTCTATACTGAGAGCTTAAAGATGGAAATGTGTTCCAATTCCTAAGATCTCCCATGTTTGAACAGTAGGTGATGCTTTCTGCTGCCTGTTACACACATTTGCCCAAGTGTCCATTAAGCCCTTGTTTGTTCACATTCGATGAGCCCAGGGTATTAACGAAAAGAAACCCGTAAATGTACCAAAAATGATGTGTTGAATGGTTGCGGAACTTGCCTCTGCTGATCCTTTCAATTACACACTGTGACAGTCGCATAATTGATCCCAATGGACCCTGGCTAACCCCCCCAAAACGAACTATATTTGAGTTGGGTTCAATCGCAAATCGCACACGCACTTCTCGCCGCCCTGATTGTAAATCGTAGACCAAACAGCAGCAACAATGACATGTCGAAAGCTTCAAAGTGGTTGGGTATATTGGTTTGGGGATAAGCAGTTTGGCCAGTTGAATGATACTCTGTGCTGTCGTCGTCTTTGTCGCTTTGCCTAATTATCTGGCAAAGCGCATAAACATGGGGCGCAGATTCTTAGCTCAGGCGCCCAACGTGGGGTAGCTGCAAATTGGACTGCGATTGATTTGCGACCCTTTTTGGAAAATACTCAACGCAGTGGGGATTGAGTGGCCTTTCTAGTGGCTGGGTGGTTGATTTATTTTACCATTTTTATATTATAGAGCCGTGGTTGGGGGCGGACATGCACAAACAAAATGCACTTGGTTAATTTCCCATTGTGACAATCAGCGTTGAGTGCTCGGCTTTTGTGTGGTGGCCCGTTCGGGCTATGCTTTTGGTTTCTGGCTGTTGTGTCTGTTGTGCCCACTGTGATTGTTATTGTTGTCTAACTGTCTACTTTGTTGCCGACTGACTGGCAGACCGACCGACCCACTGGCTGTCTGTTGTTGTCATAAACACACTTACCATCCTTGCCAATCTGGCATTGCTCTCCACGGCATTCGGCCGTTTGTATGTCTTTTCCGGCGCACAATGATTTGCCATATCCTGAGCCATCAGCGTCGCCGTCGCCATCGCTGCTTGAGCTGAGTGCTGCGGCGCCCACTCCGCCAGTCAGCTGCAGCAGCTCGCCAGCCTCATCTGCCACATCGGCGGCAACTGTGGCGTGCGTCAGGCATTTTCTGCGACGCACTTGTATGCATTCCGCGGAGCAGACGCTCCACTCGCTCCACGATGACCACCGAGCAACTAAAAGGGAAAGAGAAAGAGAGAAGGAGAGAGTACAGAGTGAGGCAAGCTGTTTAGAAATCAAAAGTCATATTAACATGATTTAGCACACATTCCCGACAGCGTCAGGCCCCGCAGTCATTTATCAAAAGGCGCGCAACGTGGGAAATTGTAGGATATTCTGCGCTGTGAGTGGGCCTCGCATTACATTTTATGGCATTGCTTTAACTAATAGATGCGTCGCAATTATGGCACCTTTTACCAACCAAATGCAGCGCCCCAGAATTTATGGCACGCATCCAACCCTGGGGAGCTCTTCAGACCAAAAAAATGTTCCCAGCATATTTAAGAGCAGCAGCAAACCTCCCTCTTCCAATGTCTCGAGTAAAAGTGATTGTCATTTTAATGCTTTTCTATTTTCGCATTTTGCTTCGTTTATTTCAATTTTTTCTTTGTTTGTCGTTGGGGGCCGCCGCCAAGTCCGAAAACTAAACAAAAAGCGCAAAATGTGCATATCGTGGGTCTTGGCTGTTCGCTTGGCCTGGCTAGATGTATGCCTATGCTAAACTCATATATATATCGGCATTTGCCACTTCCTGTGCCCAAAAACCACCCCCGTCGAAAGGCGAGCTGGCAAGTTGTCCTCCTTCCCGTCAGCAGTTAAATTATGTGTGTGTATGTGTGTGAGTGAGTGACATGCCCCACTCCAGCTAACGCATCCTGCTGCTCTCCCCTGCTGCTCTATCCTGCTGCTCTGCCCTGCTGTTTGCTTCAAGGGTCGTCGCCAGACTGTTGCATGAATCAGACAGCGAAAATCGTGGTAAGTGATTTTTAAGTTGCCGTCAACAATGACGTCACTTTTGCCTTAGAGATGGGGGAGACACCCAATAGACAACCCGAACTAAGTCAGTTAGTCCGGCAACAGCTACAGCTTCACAGCTTTGCGATTGAATGAATGAGGCTGAGTGTTTTGAATGAATCGCTCCATGGTTCGTTGGAGCTGGATACGGCGTATCCGGGCCGTGCTATGGATGCTGCCTTTGGCACAGTTTAACACAATTGTTTATTGAATTGTAAAGCGTAACCGCCCGAATGCTCGAGCTCCCAAAAAAAAAAAAAACTGCAACCCTCTAGACCAATTCCAACTAACAATTTCGAGCTTGGCTCGTTAAGCATTCAACTTTAACACAATGTCATATTGAACTCTAGCCCCCGACTCCCCCACCCCCCTTTTGAAACCCAGCTCCAATGGGCAGCCCTTTTCTGTTGTTGTTGTTGTTGAATGAGATGCACATTGTCAGGCTTTCGTTTGGAACTTACTGCGCTTACTCGACGAAATGTCAAATCCATCAGCGCTCACGATTTGAGTGTCCTCTGTTGTTGTTGTTGTTGTCGTTGTCGTTGTCAGCATCAGCGTAATCACGGGCGTTGGCAGGCGGCGTGGGCGTGGCAACGGTAAGCAGCATCAGCAGCAGATGAAGCGCCATAAGGTTGACACGATTCCATGGGGATGAAAAAGTCATAAGTTGACGATGAAACGAAAAAGGAAAAAAAAAAGCGAAACCGAAGCGAAATTTAAAATTAATTTTATGACACACTTTTCATAGAAAAAGCGGCCCAACCACCCTACCAGCACCCACCCCCTCCGAGATGCCCACTTGAAAGTGTATTGCTATTGCTGCTTCAGCAGCTCCTCCCCCCTGCTCCGGCTCCATTTGCCCCGCTTGTCTGTCAACAATTGCTCATTGCTGTGCCCGCTGTGCGCCTGCCAGAATTGCTTTCTTTGTGTATGTGCGTGTGTGTGTGTGTGCGGGTGTGCGTGTGTGCGTGCACTACAATACAATGTGCAATACAATAAATTTACATGAATAAAAGTGAAGAGTCTCAAACACATGCCGCCCGTGCGTCTGTCACAAAAAGAGCGCGCCCCCAGCTCGGCCGGGTCCTGCAGTCCAATGCCAAAACCGAAATCACGTTGTGCAACAACCCCCTGTCCCCCGCCCCCACCCTCGGCGCTGCCAGCCTGCCTTCACTCTCCCCACCCAACCCCTTCAATGCCTTTGTCACCATTTAGTCAGCGACTGATGACTGGTATGCCGCCAGCAGACGCCCCCGGGTCCAACGGTGCCAACGGTTTCAACGGCGGGGTCGCCCCCTCCTGTGCACGTCCAATCTATCCCATCTATATGTGCGTATATATACAGATATATATCTGGCCATGCTTGTGGAGATATCTGTCGTCGTTTCAAAAGGCAGCTACTCCACAATAGCAGACGCAGCCGAATGCGTGTTTAAAATGAAATACTCGGCGCTCACTCAAAAATTTATTGGACTCGGGTCCAGAAATGGGTAGCACGAATATCTCGTACGGTTTGTCAACAAATTAACTGCGGGTTTTCGACATAATTATATTCTCGAAAATCCCTACTTTAGATTGCAAGAGATTTGTCTTTGATAAAATGAACGAAGGGTTCTACTTTGATACTTTCCTTTATGGAATATCTCGCACGGGTGTGAAATTAACCCTAAAATAATGCTTTTATATTTCTATGAAATAGTATCAAAGTATAATTAACTTTTTCTTTGAGCTTGGCTTAACAATAATTTAAAATTAATTGATCGAAAGAAGAACTCCTTTCCGAAATTCCTTTAACTGTTGTAGAAATTAATCTAGCTTATAATATAAAAGTCCCTTTATCTATTTTAATATCTATTTGATGAAAGCAAGAAATCCAACTAATCTCAAATATTTACTTCTTCCACAGCTTGAATTAGGTAAGTGTATAACTAACTTCGGTTTTGGCAATTTATTCTCATTTTCCTGCATTTTGTTGTTTCTTTTTTTGGAACGCCCTCTTGAACTTTTGCGGCGCAGTGCTTTGTGCTTGACTCCCTGCTAGCTCGTTGCCTGGGTGTGAAAAATGTGCGTCGTACGTCGACGTTCTTTATTTGTGTGCTGCCGGAGCGGTGGGAGGGGAATTGGGCTCACAGGGACGCAGGTGGCTGCCAACGCCCACAGGCGGTGCTGAGCTGCCATTTAAATTGACAATTTTCGTTGTTGGCCCTTCAATTACGGTTACACTTTAAAATTTACCCGGCCCAAAAACGGGCAACGCCCACAAATTTGTGGGTAACCAGAGGAAACGCTTTTGGCATACCTGGACATGCGGCACAGTCCGCTGACTTTTGTACCTGGGGGCCGGCACACTGGGCGCCCCCATTCAAGGGCATCGGGTTGGTGCAGGTGCGCGTTCGCTTGCGGCCCTGACTCGGTTTACCGCTGCATTTGCACTCGCGCCACGGGCTCCAGGCGCTCCAGCCGCCGTTAACTGTGGTTAGAATTGGGAGAGAGAGAGGGGAATTGTGAGTTTAGAAAATATGTCGTACAATCCGTAAATATGTGTGTGTGTGTACTGACCATAGACAATGAGCACAGCCGAATCGGAGACACGTTTGCCGGCCAAATTCTCGGCGCTGCAGCTGTAGTTGGCCATATGCTGCAGCGCCACCTGGCGGAAGGTGAGCGTACTGCCGCTAACCGTGATACCCGTGTCGCTGTCGCCCGTTATAAGCGCATTGTTCTTGTGCCAGCTGAGCTTCGGCTCCGGAAAGCCGCCGGGCGGCTCGCAATGCAGTTCCGCACGGCTGCCCAGCTCCAGGCGCAACGAGGTGGGCGACTGGCCAAAGGACTTGCGAATGTCTGCAATGGGGTGAAATGCGGTTAAAGTAGGGTATACACGAGTAGGGTGCATGACGCAGCTGCTGTCGGCGCGCATTTTTATACCCTTGCAGAGGGTATTATATAATTTGGTCTCGCAATATTTAACGCAGCGAAGGAGACATCTCCGACCCCATAAAGTTTATATATTCCTGATCAGTGCCTCACTTCTAAAGCTATCCTTCGGTATTCATAATTTTCACCATGCTCTCTATATTTATGCAAAATCCTCTTAAGATCGGACCACTGTATCATATAGCTGCCATAGGAACGATCCTCTTTGTTTAACAACATGTCTTAACCATGCTCGGCATTTAATATTTTCCCTGAGCTTCTTAAATACGAGCAAGTGTATTAAATCTTCGGCGTGCCGAAAAAAGCCCTTTTTTTATTGTTAAAACTAGTGATGCACGCGTGCCAGTTTTCAAACACGAGCACGTCGTGTTTAAGCGTGTCGCAAATACTCCATAAAATGTAATATTCCATTTAAGTTCAGTTAAATTGTGCACCCTATTTTCCTTCATGGGCTAAATATTGTTCGAACATAAATACTTAGACACGAGCACGATTGCAAACCCGACGAACGCTCAGCTCTGAGAGCCACCCTCTGAATACTCACATGCAATATGGACCGTGGCCGCTTGACTCTTGACCACGCCGCGCGACGACCACGCCTGGCACTCGCACTTGAAGGGGCCCTTGCCGAAATATTCATCGACAAGATCGCGATGTATGGTGGCGGTGACCTCCTCCATGTGGACGCCCGTGTGCGGATCCACGTGCTTGTCGTGCGTCGACGGCGGCGGCTGCGAACTGCCGCTGCATTTGAAGTGCAGCTGCAGGGCATGCGATGCCTTGCACTTGAGCACCGCCGGCCGATTCTTGACCACAAAAACGCTCTCCGGCTCGCTGAGGAATATGGGCAGCGTATTGCTGGCCTCCGCCGGGCTCAGTTTGCCGCCATTGAACTCCTCCAGCAAAGTGCCGGCGCCCACAACGGAAGCTGTGCCGCCGCCAGCCGCAGCTGCCGGCGCTCGGCCATCCTCGCTGCTGTTGAGTCCAGACTCCAGGTTGAGGCGTTGATGCGGCGCTGTCTGCTCGGTGACCAGCGGCTCGACGAGGTCCACATCCTCCACGGAGGCGGACATGCTGCCGTAATCGCTGCCCAAAGGCAAATCCCGACAGCCGGCCAATTTTAGCCACATTAGCTGCAGGCTGACTAAAACTATAATCACATTTCCGGCTTTGTGCAACGACGACGACGTCATGCTTCTATCTGTCTTGCGCTTGTCTCGGCTTCTCGTTAATAATTCGTTGTCAGTTTTTATCACTGCTGTCGTTGTTGTTGTCGTTGTTGTCGTTGTTGTTGTCGTGTCCTGCGTTTCCTGTACAGCAACAACTGCACCTGCTGCTGCTGTCGCTTCTTCTCCGGCTGCTGCTGCTGCTGCTGCTGTTGAGGTATGCTGGCATTAGCTGCTTTCGGTTTGGGTTTGGGTTGATGTCGCCACGGCCCGATCTGTAATGTCAGATAAGAAATACATTTAAATGGCTTTTGGTTCACGTACTTCAGTTGCATTCCATCCTCATATGTCAGACCCGAACGACTCCTAAACCACAACAATTTGCCCACTTGGCAAGCACCGAATGCCGCAGCAGTTTGTCAGAGCCACTGAAAAGTGTCCATGAATGAACTAAAGTGTTCATATCTTAAGCGAAACACACACACACACACACACACACACACACACACACAAGCACACGCATTAATAATCATTATGCCCAACGTTGAATTTTGTTACAGTCAATGCGACTGGCTAATCACCTACAGGAAATTATTGCAACAGGAAATTGTGTTTAAAAGAAACCACAATTGAATTAGGATACATATGGCATTGATATCTGTAAAGCATTAAAACGTGTATATCCATGTGGAAATAGATTTGGGAATTTCGAGATACATTGACCCAAGCATAGACAAAAATAAAAACAGAACAAGCTGGAACAAAGCGTGTCAACTGTAGAACAATTTCCGGTTTCGAAACTTAGGAATATTGTGTATGAATTAACTTAAGCGAAATTTTTAGATAAAATACCAAAAGATTGCATTTATGCATGACCAGGACTGGAGGCACATTCATTATGATTCGAACAAATTTAAGCCTAAACTGAGAAGCAAACTTTTTGATCGGATTTATTCAACTATGCCCATCGTCTAAGGCAACACCCAGACGTACCCGGCTTCTCATCTACACGCTAAACATATTTCGCTGTAATACCACGCTAAGATAATATAAGAAAGATTTGACGTATACCTGGAAACAACACACATTCTCTATAGAATGAACAAATTGAAACTTAACTGAAAAGCTTTTTGATTGGATTTATTCAAATAAGCCCAGCTAAGCATTTTTAATACTGTCACACTTCTTCAACTTCCTCTAACAACCTGTTTGCAATACTCAGAACTCAGGCAAGAAATCATTAAAGAAAAATCGTATGCACTTGAATAACAAAATTGAAATAATATTAAACGACATAAATGTGAATATCATGCAACATGATGATAAATATTAATATCATGTTACATAATAGACCTACCCCCTCCCCCCCGCCCTCCGCTCCTCTCACTCCTTTGTGTACATCCTGCAACAAACCACATTTCCGATTACCCATTGATGAAGTCAATTTTCGTCATCATCAATCAGCCGTTGGGCTATGCCAAGCGTTTGAGGTGTAGGGTATAACTATTGTCTGATTAGTTATGCAAGTCATGTGTCAAGTTCTACGAATCGCTAGTACCAAATCGAAATATTAATAACAGCTATGTATACATATACTTATGGCCAAGACCACGATAGATAGCCAGGCCGAGGCCGAGGCGAAGGCGGAGGCAGAGGCAGAGGCAGGCACTCGGTAGTCATTCAGGACGTGCTGTGTGGGAACCCACAGGCTTTTGTCTTCTGTGTGTTTGTGTGTCTTTTGTCGTCTTTTAAATGTTATTAGTTGTGTGTTGAGTCCGTTGGCTCAGGCATTAAAATGCGGCCCTCAGCTCTAGACCCACGCCCCCCTCCACGCTCAGACCTCTTTGAGTTGGAGTTTATGTGTTTGCCTTTGTAATTATGTATTAATCATGCATAAGTTTAAACTGCAGCCTACTGCACGCTCTTAACTACTGCTGGCTGCTCAACCAGCCCCCCCTCCTCCCTCTACTCACTTTAATGTCGACAAAGGCAGGCGACATACTGAAAAGTCGATATGTAAATTGTTGCGGAAACGCCGCTTGATGTAAAATTGTGATTATGATTGGGCCAAAAGGCAGTCGTGGGCCACGCGTAGCTATAAAATGTCGGATAATAAGGGAATTAAATGGAGAAATAATACATATTGGATAGGCGTCTTTTACCGCTTCCTCTCCCTTTTTATCTGCCTCTTTCTCGCCTGGTCATCATCTTCATCGTCACGAGCGTCATTTCTTTTGGTTTAAGCGCCTTTTATGCGTAATTCAATTGGATTTACAGGGTGCTTGTGGACACTTGAGTGTCTGTCAATATATGCGCCTGTACATGTGTGTGTGCGTGTATGTGAGCTGACCAGATTATAATAATAGTATTCCCTCTGGCATAACACACACACACACACACACATTTGTGTTGTTTGTGTGCATTCAATTATAGCCGAATATTGAAGTTGGTTTTGTTTTCGATTTGTCTAGACTCTTGTTTGACGAGGCCTTCAAGCCAGGCCATGTAATGTAATATATATTATATATGTATATATCTGATATTTGCTGGGCTGCTTAAATAAATTAGATTTATGCCAGCTCGTTTAAGCGTTATGTAAACAAATCCCTCTCGCATATTAACACTTATCTTTTATGATTGATTAAAATTCGTGCAAATTTGGCATGGCAAAAAATGATTATTGTTGCGAATTTATGAGCATAATAATTATCGAGGCATCGCTGGCCATTAAAATTGTCGCCAGACTGTAAAGATTAATCAAAATGTGCCACATGAAATCGTTAAATTCCAGATTCACAATTTTGCCCCGCCCCCGAATTGCCGCCTTATCGGGCAGACTTTGGCGCCTTGCTGCAGGCTTGCACATTTTGATACCCTGTAATTGAATGGGATTACTTGAGACATGGCTGAGAAGTTGCAAGAGCAGGTTTAAATATATTTATATATATATATCAGATGCAACGAAACTGTATATATATATATATATTCCATAAATGAAGTTGATGGCAAAAGACTATTCGGCAAACAATATGCAAAAGAGTCCAATTCCTAGGGTAACTGCCAGTCGAGCGCAATGCATGGCCCCTTACACATTCCTCATTGTTTAAATAGATTTTTAATGAACTGAAGTAGGCCAAATGGATTGTGTAAAGCGCTTATCAGCCGCATTTCATTCTCTTTGTGTGCACTTTATAATCGAATGGATTTTATTTATTGGAACCGCAAAAGACATAAAAAAAAGCAACGAAGTTTGCATTGATTTCGGCAAAGCGGAGCAGGCAGTCGTAGCGTCGAAACTGACAGACAGACTCTGACAGACAGGGTCTTCCGATTTATGGCCAGATTGAAAAGATTCTGCGTGTGCATATAATCAACTTATATTGTGTGTGTGTGTGTGTGTGTGTGTGTGTGTGTGCTGAGCAAGGGATGCTCGCATAGAAGAAACAGCAGCAGCAGCTTCTTCCGCCTGAACTTTTCATGATTACACTCAACTTTTTTTTGGCGGAGGAGTAAGTCGCAAGAGGCAACTGCTTTCTAGCCCGGACGGGCGACAGGAGACAGCCGTCATGCATGAATGAATGAATGAATGACTGACTGAATGAATGAAAGATTGCGTGGGATAATCGGCGTCGCATTCAATTTAATTTCACAACTATTGCGGGCTGCCGTCGAAGCCCTTCCTGCGAAATGAAAAGAAAAGAACTTTCAAAAGTTGTGCGCTCCCCCCCTTTAAGACAGAGGGGGCGTGTTGGGTGAGGGAAGGGAGGCACGCAGACAATGCGCGTAGTACAAGGCAGAAAACAAGTGAGCATTCTATAAAATAATTGATGACTGACTGACTCAGTCGTTGGCAGCAATAATTTTTATGCCTCTGCAGTACTCCAGATACACACAAGAGCACACACACGCACACACGCACACACGCACGCACGCACACACACTCGGGCGCACTAAAATCAAATGCCACTCGAAATTCAGCGGCAGTTGCTGTGCGACGCGCCTGAAGATGAAGCTAAAAGCTGAAGTGTATCTGGCAGATGCCGCTGCTTCAATTGCGTGTGACTTTTGCTGAGTGTTTGTGTGTGTGTGTGAGCGTAAGTGTATCGGTGTGTGTGTGTGTGTGTGTGTGTGCTGGAGTGTGTGTAGTTATGTTGTACAATCAGTAAACATCTGTAGCACAAATGAAATCTTCAGAACTCAAGGGACCGTGCTGCTGCTGCTGTGGCAATCGTTGCCGCATGTGGATTTCACATGTTGCGCATTTTGCCCACACACAACACACACACACACGCACAACACTCCGCTGAGCCTGCTCTCTAGATAAAGCGCAGCTATTGTGAGCTCGTTCTGCGCTTGCCTTTTAATTTCCTTTTGCTTTTTTGGGCCAGTCTTGTAATCAAACAATTAAAGATGATTTTAATTAATCTATTTATAAGCGGCACAACTCGCGCCCCTCACTCCCCGCTCTCCCTCTCTGTTGTCGCAACGCCTTCATAACTGCTCAAAAATTTATGCGACTTGACAGCGAGGGAAGGCGAGGAAGGCGAGAGGGTGGGTTTTGTCAGAGACATGACGACAACAACAAACGGCAGAAAACATCTTTAAATTAATTAAGCGTAATTGTTGTTGAATTCGAAACAAAAGTTTCACAGCCCGCGTATCTGCTGCTGGCGCATAGATACATATGTATCTACAAGATACAATACAATAGATTAGATATAGGCCCACGCCCGGACCATGTGCATGCAATAAGCAAATTATTTATTATGCCGCATCAGTTAAATAAGTGGCACAAACCGAGCAGCTGAGCAACTGATGACTCTTATCATTTGTATCTCATTAGAAAAGTTTCAATCTAGCTCAAAGTTTCCGCTGATGCTGACCAGCAGCCATTTATTCGAGAAGGGGGCAGTGCTTGCTGTAGGGTGGTGGGGGGGAGGGGGGGGATGGTATGTAGTGTGAGAGAGAAACTTATTTGGCACACACTTGGACCCTAAGCTAATTTACGATGCCCAACGCCAAACAAATCGATTGGCAAACCAACTGATGTTGCCTACACTCAATGCCAAGACCTTAACTGTGCCTTACACTAGCCTACAAATGAAATAAACAAATGCCAAAGGCAAGCCTGACTCGAGTTTAAGAAATAGCATTCAAAGAGAAAATGTGAATATGCTCCATAAACAGGAGAATGGATCGACTTTTATCGGGCTCAAAATTGCCAGGCTCTAAGTCTTCTTATTCCTGCCCACATATTTCTACCAAAAGAGATGTAGAGACCAATTTGAATAGAGTTTGACTGATATAAGTTGATTTGAACATAGCATTCACAGAGAAAGAGGGACTAAATAGACAATAATAGGTTTCATAGAAGCGAAGCTAAAAAATGGCATAGCTCTAAGTCTTATTGTTCCTGCCAATATATTTCATTGAGTCTCCCTTGCTTTCTCCTCCATTCTAGAGTTCCTTTACTTACCACTTATTTCCGCATTAGGTGCGCAGATGTAGGTGCTTTATCTTTGGTTACCTTTAACTTTTACTTCGCGTCTATCTAAAAACAACTTTCTACCCTTAATGCGCTTAACTCATGGATAGATAATGCATTAGGTAGCTCACAAATTTATCAGCGTTGCATGCTAATGCCCTCTTTCAGATAGTTTTACCAGATACATTTTCTATAGCCCACAATTTACGATGCGTATTCTTTCAGCTCATTCGGCGAGGGGCCAACAGCTACCTACTTGCGAGAGACAAAGGCCAGTTACGAGCGCATCTATTTCTATGTAGATCTTATGTATTGTGCGTATCGATGATCGACATCTAATCCAATGCTAAGTCGCAGCCGATGAACCCGACTGTCCCCTCTGCCTTTCTTGTAGGTAGCCAGTTTTTAGGAGCTCTTCTGTCTTGGGCTTTAATTCCTCGCTGCCTCGCTGCCTGCATTGTAACATGCGTTGTTCTTGGTTCTTTGGGTCTGGAATGACAATTAATCACCGCAGGAGTCAAAGATGTTCGACGGTTCATGTTCGCTCCTCCCGTTCACGTTCACGTTCCCATTCCCGTTCCCGTTTACATTCCCTCGATTGCCTATCCCATGGAGGTTGTTCCCATGCCAATGGACGCTGGCTTGTCCTTAAACCAAACCCTTGTTTGTCGAGCTAGAAACACCGAGGAGGACACAGTAGAACAACAGCTGTAAGCTGTAGGTTGCTCAAATTTGTACACAGAAATACAACCCCTAAAATTATGACTCTATATTACGTGCCTGTGTGTGTGAGTGTGTGAGTGTGCGAGTGTGTGTGTGAGCGTGTGACTTGGAAAGGGTAACAGCTCGCGTAAATTATTAAAAAAAGAACCAAGCCAAGTATCAAATACCAAAGTGTGAGTCGCGTTCAAATCATATTCATTGCATTTGTCAAAGCCTGAGAAATATTTTGAATGTCGCTGCTGGTTTTGTCACTCCGTCAGCCAGTCTGTCAGTCAGCCAGTTTGTCAGTCTGTCATTCTGTCATTCTGTCAGTCCAGTTCTGAAAGGGGATCATTATATGCCAATTGGCGATTGTTTGTTGCCCACTCGTTAGCTCGACTCGTTACACACGAGGGCGGCCGCATGAGTACCCGCTTATTCGGCTAAACAACCCAGGACATATACATTATCCAATTGCAATTACTCGAAATAAGTGCAACAATGGCTTAGGGAGTTCCTACTAATTGATTGATTTGTTTGGCACTTAACACAAATAGTTAGCTCATTTGTGACAATCCTAATGCAATTGATGTATGCATAGATTATGCAATTCATAAACGAAACTCCTTTTGTTTATGTTTAAAGATTTTGTAAATTAATAAAGACATATTTCAAATTGAAATTAGGCTGCAAGTTGTTATGAAACAGTTCTTCTTGAGCCTTAAGTTTTCTATATATATAATTAGGCAATTTTATAATTTTCCTAATCACTTTAATTACTTTCATCTCGAATTACTATTTATAATAAAAATGTTCCAAAGACAAATGTCAAGTCAACAGAAAATTTGTATCCCAGCGCTCAGTTTTTATGATCTCAATTTTATGGCCACCTTATTTGGCCCCAGTCGAAGGTGATTCATTGAGAACTTCTTTGATATCTTGGTGTCCAAATGTGGCAGCTTTTTGTGCTGGCTGTCATATTCGATATATCAGATATTTTCCAGGAGTTAACTCTATGAACAGCCCTCGTTCTTAGAGGGGTTGGTAATTGCAATACGCATTCGAATTTAAATTTGAGAGTTGAATTTGAATAACGGTTACATGCCCAAATTATAACTGTAATTGCGCGAACGTCGCCTGCGCTTGCGGCATGTAGTATGAGTTGTTGTTGTTGCTGTTGCATCTTTTATCAATGCATTAAGTGCCGCCGCGCACTCATTATGAGGGCCTCCCCCCACACCACGCCGCGCCGGCCCTCGCGCCGAGAAGAACAACAAAAATATATAACAACAACAACAAAATAAACATGCAGCAGCGAAATCATAAAATAAAACAAAAAATAAATAAAATCCAGAAGGAACAGACATCTGCGTATAGTCGCACACTGAATACCCTTACATATATATAATTTTCAAAATTAAACCCTCTAGGGTAGCTCAAGCAAACATATTAAAACATATATATCTTGATAATCCTTATAATCGATTGATCGTGCACTGTTTTATATAGCTATTTATACAAAATGTGGTACGATCCACGCAGTGCGGTGGATTTTCCGAAAAGTGTGAAACATGTTGCCAATAAAATGCGACATAGATATATTTCAATAAAAATTGTCTACTGCGCCATCTGCCAGCTTCTGTTTTGGCTGCATTACAAATGCGGATCTTTGCCATGTTACATGAGTTTAGTTTCCAGATCAACTTCAAACAGACCGACATAACTATATGCTCTACTGTTTTCGCTCAATCCAACATAGTCATGCTTAGGAGTTCGAAGATCAGCTCATTTCATGCTCTACAAAATTCGAGAAAAAATTCAAATACCCTTGGCAAGTGTACATAAAAAAAAAAAAAAAAAAACAAATATAAAAAACAAAAAATAAATAAAAATGGAAAATACACGCTGGCGTTCAAAAGGGCACGCTTTTCATAATAAACATTAGCGCGGCGACAGAGCGTCAGCCTGTCAGTCTGTCAGTCTGTCAGTCGGACGAACGGACGGAGCGATCTGTGCGACGCTGCCTCCTACTCCGCCTACTCTTGGTCTGTTGTAGTTCGCCCTCCCTGCCGTCGCCCCTTGTCCCTCGCTCCTCGCTGGTTCTCATGGTTCGCTGGCGTCCGTTCAGCACTTTTGTTTGTTTGTTTGTGAATTGGTCGTCTTTAGTTACACTTGAATACGTTTTGTGTGTCCGACTCTGTGTGCTAGTTCGTGTGTGGGTTATGGCAGTTGCCCGGCAGTCGCATTCGCACTGCACTTCACCTACTTCGCTTGCACTTTGGCGTGCGCTTAAAAATAGAATTGCATACTTAGCGGCGCAGGAAGCGGCCGCTGTCAACGGCTTTGAACCTCCAACCCCCCCTCCCACAACTCTCTACACTTAGAGAAAATTAGGTTCTTCAAGTTTAAAAGCATAGAATTCATTTGTTCCTTAGATTTTGAAAGCATTTCAAATAGTCTTTAATTAAATATGAATTTTTGTTTTTCAAAATTGATTTGTTCTTAAAATTTGAATAACATTTCGTGATTGAAAATTTGTTAAACAGAAATATTTAAAAAAAGGACTTCAATTGAGTATAAAATAAATTTGATTAGCATAGGAATAGGAATAGGATAGGATGACTCTTGCTCTTTTTAAGCTCTTAAAATCTTAAATCAATTTGATATTTGTGCAATGCTTTTCGCCGAGTGCACAGCTCGGTTGCCTTTTGTCTTGGCCACAAAACTTGCTGTCCCAAGTCCAGGCTGTGGGGCGTCTTATTATAGCTAAGCATGTCGGCTACTTACGCGTTGTTTTTGTCTTTGTTGTTGCTGTTGTTGTTGTTGTTGTTGTTGTTGTTGTTGTTGCTATTTGTTGTCTGCTGCAGTGCGGCAGCGTTGGGCGTGGATGTCAGCAGTGGCTGCTTATGAGTAAACATGTATCCAGTTACAATGTTGTATGCAAGTGTCCTGCGTATCCTTTTTGAAAGGCCTGCCCGAATTGTCCCACTCTCTCACCGTGCAAGTGTGTGTGTTTGCTTGGGACATCTGTAACCTTATCGCCTATACACTTTAGTCTCAGTTTTATACACTCGTATATTCGTTTTTTTTTTTTTGTTTGCGCTGCGTATCCTGCTTCAGTATTTCATATAGTTGCCGCCAGCTGCCTATGTGTGTGTCGGCTTATACACATACACATTTATCTATATACATATTATGCATTCAATTGAACACTTCACATAGTTGTTGCCCGTGGTGCCGCGCACACACACACACACGCTAACAACGCGCGCACGCACACCGTTTCAAATATCCTGCTGGTGCTCTCACAATATCAACATGATAACGGCAACAACAACAACAGCTCAGCATTGCGGCATTGTTATTGTTATTGTTATTGCTGTCGTTGCTGTCGGCAGCGCGCACACACACACACACACACAGAGACGCACGCACAGTTACGGCGCGTATTTGGTTCCCGCATAAAACTGTTCGATCTCTTCACGTTTTCGATCTCACGTTCTTTTCCATTCGGTATTTGGCGCGTCGCTGCGTCCGTTTGCTTTGACGTTACGAATCGGAATGAAGTTGCGCTGCTCACTTGTGGCACACCGACAACAGCAGCAGCAGCAGCCACCACAACGTAACGCGCGCACTCTCTCTCTCTTTCTTTCTCTCGCACTCTCGTGCGCTCTTTACGTAGCGCTCTCAGCGCTCAGACGTGCAGTTGGCGCAGGCAGCGGCAGCGCCAGCAGCAACAGCAGCAGCATCCCCAGTAACAGCAGCACGTTCTGTTAATGTTGTTGTTGTTGTTGTTGCTGTTATTCTTGTTGGAGCTGGCATATGTGCAGGAAGTGGAAGTGGGGAAGAGCACACGCAGCGCTGTTGCCGTTGCTCTCCCATCGCACTCTTTGGCATTGCTATTTTGTATCTTTCTCGCCTGTTTTCCTGTTTCTCCCTATGTTTCTAATTTTACACACGAAATTCCAGAGATGCTTTCATATTTTCGTTTGATGATTTATTGACTGCAGCGGCAATTAAAGGCCTTTTATTTCACTTTTTATCAACTGCATTTCATTGACATTGACGACGAGGGCGCTGCTGCTTGTGTGTTTTATTTATATTTTTGTTGTGCGCGCACCCACAAACACACACACACACACCTACGCCTACAACAGGAGACTTTTTGTCTGCCTTTTCACTTTTTGGCTTTAACAAATTTTGTTAGCGGCTTTCAAGTTGTCATTTACTTTGCGAACTTTTGTTAATATTCTTTAAATTGTTTAATAACGTTTTTTTTGTATGTTAAACACGTTTTTTTTTGCTGTTGTTCAAGGAGCGCATTCCAATGCCATCCGTCAGCAGCAGTGACTCCAATCAGAACCTGCTCCTGAAGCTTGCAGCATCCAACTGATACGACACAGAGCCTGCACAGCGTCATCTAGCGGCTGGGCTGTGCAAATACGCTGTCATAGCTGATAGCTTTTTGTGTTGTGTGTTGCAATATTTCGATATGTTTTGTGGCGGTAGTCGATATCGTCGTTAAGTGAGTAAATTTATTATGGACACCTTGCGTTAAATGTCGCCTGTCGTTAAGTGCATTAATTTAGTAGAGACTTCTACTGACTGTAGTTCGGACAACAACCGCATACAGTGCTTCTCAAATGTTCCGCGCACTCTCAAACTGTGCTGTTCATTTTTTAACATTTGGAATAATTTTTCGAACTAATTTATGAAAACGAAATGGCTGAAAAATTAAAATTAATTATTACAAATATTTCTTTTCCGCTGAAGCCCTTTTATATGGGAGACAATAGTTTTTCCAACTCTTTTCCGACTTTCCGCATTGGCGAAATAAGTTTTCTTTAATTTCTTTATAAAGAACTGATTTCAAATTTGAACTGTTTTTTTCTGATAAATCCTTTGGAAATGAATTTTCCACGAATTGGCGTGGAATTACCGAAAAGCGTGAAACATGTCTCCAAACGAATGTTTCCAAGAATTTTCCAAATAAAATACTCGGCCGCTTCTTTCTCTCCAATTTCAGTAAAAAGTGATAAAATTTAACATCGAAGACACAAAAAACATATTCCGTATATTTGATTTAAATTACATAAAAACTTAAGCCACACATTAACTAATTCTTATACATGTCGCAGAGGACCTTCTCCATGGGCGTGTTCCCGATGGTGCGCTGAAAGAAGATCGACTCGATCTTGTGCGAGTTGATCATCCGGAGCAGCGGCAGCATCAACAGCAGCCGACCGAAGCGTGCGATTTGCGCCGTGAACTGCGTCTTCGTGTGCTGCGAGAGCATCACCTGGGCGAATAAAGGGGAATGCCATTAATGCGAAACATAAAGGGGGAAATCGATTTGCGGATCTCACATGCGCCTGATCCTGCAGGTTCTCGATTTGCGCCGGATCCTTGAGGCCGCGCGTTTCGGGTCGGAAGAGCACAATCGCCTTGAGGCAAGCAAATTCAGCCGGATCGACCAGCACAGCCTTGTACTTGCAGAAGATCTCGTGCAGTGTACGCACATCGGCGGCCAGCTGTGGGAATTGCTTTGCCAATTACAGATGCTTCACTGTAGCCCAACGGACCGCCCAACACTTACCTCCTCCTTGCTGACACAGTTGTCGCCGTTGCTGGCATTGTTCTCCAGATTGTTGCAGTGCTCCGCGACAGAGAAGAGCGCACAGCCCGTGGGATCCAAGGGTATGCACCATTGTATGGCATTCAGCAGAAACAGCTCCGACCAAGACTCCTCCAGCAATATGACCTGATCCCGGAACGATAGCCGGGCAAAGCTGGGCAAGTTCTTGGCCCACTTGACGGCCATGAACAGCAGCCGGGCGCTCGTCTCATACACCGTCTCGTGCTGATGCGCATACAGATTGGGCGACATGAACTGTGGCATTATGAAACTGGAGTCCGATCTGCTGCCCGTATTCGCATGCGGCTCCTCGTCGTTGGTCACATCAATCGAATCATCTGCAAGGTAGGTCAGTGCAATTCCTTTGGAAGGATATTTCACGCCCGCTTACCATCGTTATCATTCTCCGGCGTCGGGCTGGCAGAGCTGATGGAGGATACGCTGCCGCCGGCATTGTTCTTGTCATTGGGTGCATCCGGCGCCGGGGAGCTGGGATCTATGCTGTGATTGCTGCTCGAATTGGTCGAATGGGAGACATTTCCGCTGCTGGCCAGGCCATAGCCGCCCGCCTTCTCCTTGGGCGAATGATGCAGTCCCGCGGCAGCGGCGGCAGCATTGAACATGGGAAACCCGCTCGCATGGTTCATATGATTCGTGGCCAGCTGCATGGACGAGCTGAGATGATTGTGGTGCAGCAGACGTCCCGTCGGCAAGCTGCCCAGCGCTGTGCAGTAAATAAAAATCTCATCAGTTTGTTTAACACTCAACAACACACAAGCCACAAGTTAACTTACAGGGCGGCGGCAGCAGCCCGGAGCCGTAGCAGGGCGGTGACAATAGCACGGGAGGTCTGCAAATTGGAGATGCTGAGTCTGAGCTATGCAAATGACAGGCAGAGATGGACAGAGGCAAGGGCGTAAGAGGACTTACCCGAAAACACCAACGGCTACGGCCGCTTCGCGCAGCGCTCGCCCGTGCTCCATCTCCCGCAGCGTCTCCGGCCGTATAGTGGCCGTGTTGCGTGGCTGTCGCTCATTTTGCACAGCTGTAATTGGAAAACAAAATGCGGAAGCGCACATATAAGTAAATCGCCGCACTTCTCTCAAAACAAATGGCACCGCCCCAAACCGTAATGAGGAAATGTCACAGTGACAAAATTGCTTGACGCCTCGTTTGAATTTTGCCAGCCAGCCGGTGTGGCAACACTGTTTGCGCGTGCCGACCTCTCTCTGTGCTTCTCACTCGTTGCACCGAGCCTCCGCCCCCCCCCCCCCCCCCTTCTCACGCTTAAGCCTGCGGGCGTTCATGGTAAATTGGTTTTGTGGTCACGTGCCGTTCACGCCCACAAATTGTTTTCCCATTTGTTTATGCAATTTTACCGCGACAACTCAATGGGATCGTGTAGCCCACCCAATCCCATTTTCTGATAACTGTTGCCATTTTGCATATGCCTAGCATAATTTATGCTTCAATTAGTGTCGGGAACGGGGCGTAACCATAATGAAGTGCGGCCATTGATTGAACCGTGTTATTAACAAGCGGCTGCGATTGATACGTGCCGTGAGAAAGAGGCCCAAACAACTGGTAGATAAGTTGAAGCACAGCTTTAATTTAGGTGAAATAAGAAAAGGTCTTATCGATAGTTCGTCATGCGTTCGATAAATATCGATTTTCAGCCAAGGTTTCTATATCTCGCAGTTTATTCGAGTTAAGGCCATCAAATTCATTTTAGCCAGACAATTGCCACAACTGATTGCATTATATTTTATTTTGCTGACGCTTTCACAACTTTCCGCCAGGTTTGCCCACATCAAGGTGTCCATCTTCAAGGTTGAGCAGTAGGTTGACAATAGAATAATCAAGAGAAACCCTGACAGCTAGTTAGTTACTCTCCGCTGCGCCCATCAGAGCCCGAATGCAAGTACGCTAGATATTTATAAATATGCCCAAGTCGGATGCGACCAAAAGATGAAATTGTTTATTCAACTGCTGCGAAGCTGCTTAAACAATCTGTCAAAGACAACAGCAGCAGGTAACAAATCAATTGACTGAACAATATGTAAATAAAGTGCAACCCGCAACCCCGCAATCCCCGAACCGCGTCACCCACTTTTGGGAGTTGAACGAGCAACCCCCAAAACGCGGCCTTTCCAAATATTGTGGCTGTTCATTCGCTGCTGTCGGAGTGCGTGGGAAAGGGTTAACGGGAAGATAAACTCTATTAGTACAAATAGACAGAGATATTTGCATTAGGCGCTCTGCACGTGTCGCCAGGTTTTTGAGGTCATGTTAAAGAGCAATTAAATGTGCTTCAGTTCATTAGAGCGCTGGCCAGATTATGCATATCGCTCAGTTGGACTTAATACTAGTGTGTTTATAGGGTATATCCATAAACAGCTGATGCACTGATTGATTGACTGATTGATTGATCCACAGCACAAAATGTTAGCGCTGGGCAGCTGAAATTATTTACTGTAGTCGCTTCTTTCCATTTCTCATCCAAGCAGCTAGTGTGTTTATGGGGTATATCTAAAAACAGCTATTTATTTGCACTGATTGATTGACTGACTGATTGATGTACAGCGCAAAAGTGCTAGGCAACTCTTCACAGTAGTCGCTTCTTTCCATTTCTCATCCAAGCAGCTAGTGTGTTTATGGGGTATATCTATAAACAGTTATTTATTTGCACTGATTGATTGACTGACTGATTGATGCACAGCACAAAATGTAAGCGCTAGGCAGCTGAAATTATTCACATTTATCTTTTATTGTGAAGGAAGACGGGACATTCGGACATTCGACCTGCTAATGTGGAAAATTAGTAGAAACTGAAAATAAATAATTATTTGGACTGATTGATTGAATGCTTGATTGTTGTGTTTCCACCTCATAGTGGGGTAAATTGGTGAAAAACTATTAAATGAAACTTTGGTTATGCTTCAGCCAAACAGAACAACTAGTTGTTTGTATTGATTGATTGACTGATTGTTTGACTGATTAATTGACTGATTGATTGACTGAAGATCTACCCAAATTCTTAGCTGAAATCATTCAGAGCTGGTCTCTTTACTTTCAAACTCAATAAGTAATTATTTATTTAATCTGATTCATGTAATTCCACCTGTTAGTGTGGAAAATAAGTGAAAAGCTGTGGCATGAAACCGAAATTTAGACAACCTTTGTATACTCTTTGAAATCAAGATTGATACTCGTTTTTTTGGAAACACATAACAGTAGCATGTTAGAGTTGGCTTAGTCTTTAACACTTTCTTTAGAATAAATTAAAAAAAAAAAATAACCAAACTTATTATTAAAACTTAACACAGAATGAATAATGAACTAAACGAATTCGATGCCGTGATGGAGCAGATCGGTAAATAATTTTGCATGCTTCAATTTGATTAGATGCGAAAATTGATGTCAGATGGAAATTTGATCAGGTTTTGGGAAGGTTCATTGTTACGTGATGCTCACGTTGGGCCTGCTCCAAATGTTAACGATACACGAGACCATGGGCATGGGCATCATTGCGCCGTCTGCCGTGTGCGATTTACGCATGAGTATTGTTCAGGTGTCAACAATAACGGCAGCGGCATTTTTGGGCATTATCTGCTCGTCCTATTTCTGGGGCTATATCACGGACAAGATGGGTCGTCGCTGGATTCTATTGCACACCATTTCGATTAGTAATATCTGTTCGATAATATCCATGTTTATGGTCAGCTTTACGAGCTTCTT